TTCCGAACTTGCAAAACATAACATCATATGAATTCAGATCAATAATCGGTGTTGCCATTTGCCATTCACTGTGTGGATCATGCCAATTATCCTTAACTGAAACATTAATTGCTTCGGTTTGAATATATGTGATAATAAACTCGATAAATTTGACTAAGGAAATGAATAGCACGTTTTATAAACGTCCTAATAGACCACTTAATAAGACTTAATTTATATGGTTGAAACGTCCTAAATAGACCGCTTAATAAGACGTAATTTACATATAACATTTTTAGACGTTATAACTATTTTTTTTTTACGATATTATATAAAAAACGCCGTATCAGCTATTTTATAGGACACTACTTGATAACTAAAATGTCATGTAAAAAGATGAGTAATTTATAAGACACATCTCAAAAGTATCTTATAAAATAGCTAATGCAACGCTTTCTATTGAAAATGTGATAAAAAAAACTCGTTAAGATGTTCAAAAGCATCATATAACCTTATTACAACGTATTTATTTAAGACGTTTTATTTTCTAGTCCTATAAATTAAGTCTTATAAAACAGTCTATCATAATACTTAAAAATTGTTAACGTTCTATAAACCCAATTTTGTTATAGTACAATAAGTTGTACACGTAATTAACCCCCCTTATAACGACCGTCGACCAATACGATAAGATTAAGAGAGCAACAAGGGTGACGAATGAAACACCAGTACCAATGAATTTAAATCGTTATAAAAGGGATGAACAATGAAACCATTAAGTCAAATTCGAATTTATTGATAATTGAGAACTTTAATTAACATATGTTATTATAGAAAAATTGCGTTTGTAGAATTTTTAGGGACGGTTTACCAACTGTTTATCCAAATAAGTGTTTAGCAAGTCATGTTATCTTACGGAATAAATATGGAAAGAACCAAAAATCTTACCTGGTAAAAGCGAAGGCAAAAACAAAAGTCTTACCCGGTAAGTGAGGACAACGGTTCTTACCATGGTTAGCGCTTACCGTGTAAAGTGTTGCATATGATAACATTATTCCTGGACTAAAATCTTATCCGGTAATTAAGTGATTGAGTTGAATTTTAACGTTTAGCGCTTACCTGGATAAACATTTGGTAAACAGCCCCTTAAAATGTCTAAGAGGCCGTATACCAAACGCTTACTCAGGTTAGTGAACACCAAGTCACATAACCTTATCGAATGAACATGGTAAGGATCAAGAATCTTTTCCGGTAAGAATGAGACATGGACCAAAAGTCTTACCCGGTAAGTGAGGGCGACGACTCTTACCACGGTAAGCGTTTACCAATTAAATTGTTACATACGATATCGTTTTGGTGGACTAAAATCTTACCCGGTTAAAATGATAGTGTTTGAATTTTACCGGTAAGTACTTACCGGGGAAATGTTTGAGTAAACGGCCCCTTAGTGTTTTACAAACTTAAATTTATAAAATCAAATAATAGAACTCTTATCTAAAAGTGTTTACAATAAGTTTATATATAGAACGTTTTTAGGATGTTTTTATTATAAGTGTTTACAACAATAAGTTTATAAACTTGCATTTTTATAGCACGTTTGTGTTTATGGTGTACTATAAAATAACTAATATGATACTTTATTTTAGAAATGTTGTAATAGATTTGTTAATTAAAACACTCAAAACGTCCTATAAATTTGTTATAATACTTTTAGATATAACGTTTTATTGTTTGATCATGTAAATTTAAGTTTTTTAAACATTTTATTAGAACAATTAGACGTTTTAGACATCCGAGTTATTAAGTCAATTTTGTTTTCGTATATATATGTATGTGTAGATAAAACTTGAGAGTTGTTTTTTCTCCTTTAAGTTCATACATGGATAGTAACATCTCATACTTATAACCGTACTAAATATTATACGCTTTGTCCACACACCTAAACTCACGGTTTTAAAATGCGTCTTTAAAGGAGGTATCAAGCCCATTATATGACAACATTTGTTCTTCATCCCAACCAATATGGGATCTTACAATTAATGAACCCCCCTTGCGAGTCTAGCGTCCTCGCTGGCACACTAGTCTAATTCTCGACTTTAATACCATTTGTAACATCTTTAAAACTATGAGTTTAGGCGGGCATAGTTGATCCATGATTTATGTTTCATCTTTCGTTTCCTTTTCGTTTGTTTCGAGAAATATATTAAGAAATGTTGTATCAGACTCCTTGTCTTCTTGTAGTTGGATCTCCAAGTTTTTGGAAGCAGACAATATCTGATACAATTGGTCTGGGAAGTTACAGATCGTATTAGAGTAAGGAACTGAACTGGTGTGCTTGGGAGGACACTGGATTCCCAAGTGGGGTGAATTGTAAGATCACACATTGGTTGGGGAAGGGAACAAATGTTGTCTTATAAGAGGCTTAATACCTCATCTATCAAACGCGTTTTATAACCATAAGTTTAGATATGTGGACAAAACAATAAAACCTGTACGTTTAGGATCATATTATATTAATCAAAATGCTTGTCTTGTAAAATTGTTTGCCTGGTTAGAGAACATATTGTGTTTATTTTGTACGCTGATAAATGTTCTGGAGAACATAAATTGCCATTTTGATATAGGTATAACACTTGTACATTTTTATAATTTGATTAGCAAAAAGTTTTCATAAAAAAAGTGTTCTAAAAGAATGGCCGCAACAACTACTGTGGAGTGTGTGGTTCAAGACTTGTGTTCAATGTCACGTTAACCATGTAACATATAATGGCCTGATGTGCAATTTTTGTAACACAATATTTGATTTTTTTTTTACCTTTTTAGTATCTTGCTTGTTAGTTTTTAATATATAACATAATTTAATTTGTTTAAAGGTCTTTTAATTGAATAATAGTTGGAATGTGTGAGGTTCTGGTGAAAATGATAGTTAAGGTGAGAATCATAAGAAATGATTTACACTCTTAGATGCACCGGATTAATCCCCGTATCAAGTGTGATTCATGAGTAAGTTTGAAATTAAAGGTGATCAAGAGTCCAAATCCTTTCTTACGCTTCCATCATTAACTCTCATTCTCACACGATCCTTCATCTAGTTGAAATATGTGTGTGTGTGTGTGTGTGTGTATATATATATACTATATTATAAAGCATTTGACAAAAACTTTTAAAAACCATTTTTTATACATGAAGTATTATTTATTTATGAATATTACTTAAAATTCAAGATTACAAGTAATTGTGCGTAAGTACAACTTATTAGAACTTCATATTTGAATTCGTGTAACTAACTGCAGATAAACATAATCAAATAGAGAATAATCATCTCATTTTAAATATAAAAATCTAAAATATAATTAATATAATCATTGAGTTCTAACAAAATATTTAATTATTATTTTTATAAAAATTATATTATTAAACCAAAAATGAAAAAACGGATTAAATAATACACATAAAATGAGAAATTTTAAATAGTTATTTTGATACTAATATCAATATTTTTTTTCAAAATTTTATGATATATCTTCTTATTTAGAGTTTATTTAAAAATAAAAACATTATCGTTTTCTCAAGAACCACATAAAACTGTATTATAACATTAACCGACACAAAAAAAAAAACGAAACATTAAAATCAAGATGTATCTCGCTATATTGTGTGAGTACTTTTCTAGTATATATATAAAGTGGCTTGGGTTCTGATAAAAGAAGAATTAAAGTGAGTAACGTAAGAAAGATTTTCACCATTTAATGCACATTAAGATGAAATGCACCGAAATAAGATACACCAAATCAATTCACATATCAAACACGATTCATATATAAATTTAAGATAAAAATAATCAACTTCTCACTTTAATTAATTCCTTAACTCTGATACTTACGCCAATTCCTCATTTCACTTAAATATACATAAATTATTTTTATATATTAACATGGATTGTGTCTGAAGAAAACATAGAGCTCTGGTTAATTCATACAAAATTATTTTTATTCTTAATTCTTTAATTAAATATTATCATCTGGAACATTATTTAAGCTATTTTAAAACAAGAAAAATATGCTACTTTTGCCCTATAAAATATTTGACCACCAATACTTAATTTTCTAATATATTTATGATGTTTTTAATTTTATTAATGTTGCCAAAAATGGTTTTACTTAAGGATCAAAATTTTGCATCCAATGTAAAACGTCTTTTACCCAATAAATGTTTAGAAAGTAAGATTTGGTATCTCATTAAAATGATTTAATTTGGTATTTGATCTACCAATGGAAGATGGTCTTAGCAGCTCAAGTTAGGAGGCAGTCAAAGCATAAACAGTATGTATTTATTGGCAATTACAGTATCACAAGCTAGAAATGCCAAATCAAGAACATACACTAGGCCTCAACGAAATAATTGCAACACCCGTGATAACTAGTCTTGAATCCGATGATGAAATGTTGGTGATTGCATTTGAACACATACTACACATTCCATTCCAAAAAGACTCGATGATTTTGTCAAGTAAAATGGAGCATAAAAATCAAAAAGAACAAATATGAACACCTTATATATCTAGCAGTTGGATGTATATATTATATATACACACTCCGGCTATATATAATCTTGGTTGAAACACTTTAAGAACAGGTTACAAGTAATTCCAGTTTTTGTCCCATAAATACTACTACCATTGGAATAGTACATAAATTTACTACCATTCCATCTGCAAGCTGCTGCAACGACAAGTCAACTTGTTGCAGTCATCATATATCATCATGGAGATGAACAAAACAGTTGATCAACAAATAAAATTACAAATTAACAATAGGGTTCATAGTTGATTGCAAGAAATGAAATCTAAAACTACCCCAGACAATTAAGAAAACTAGAGAAAAAAGATCTAGGGCATATGTGTTTCATAATAATTCCATTCCGTGAAGAACATAAAATCAAAAAAAGCTTTAAAAGAAACCAAAGATCAGTTCCAAGATCCGATATACATACATATATATATATATGTATATATAATTCAATTAAGTATGATCACCTGGTGGAAGAGGGAAAGGTTGGAAAGATGAGATACTGGAGGGAAACTGTTGATGATGTTCTTGTGGTGGAGGTCGTTTTCGTTTCTTCTTCTCGTAGCTAATTCCTCTTGCTTTTGATTGCAGATCTCGAACTTCTCGCAGGTAAAGTCTCACAGCACGAGCACCAAAAGGGTTCATCTCCGGTTGGCCGCCGCTCTCTTCGTAAGCTGCCCGGAGACGTCCGATCAAGGCATCCAAGCTTCCCCAAGCTTGACGAAGTGGGCAAGGGCAAGGGCAAGGTGGGTTCGGATGCCCATAAAACGGGCACACCGGGGTGTGGACTTTAGTCTTTCCGAACTGGTCAAGGTACCGAAGAAACTCGAGGACGTTGGCGCCACTGCATCGGGATAACGCGAGTGGTGGCCGGTGGTTTTTCAGATACTGACAAAACGTGTTCCAGTCACGGCGTTTCTGGTTCTCGTAACGGCTGGGAGTGGTGGTGGTAGTTGCCGACGGTGAACTAGACGAAGAAGAAGCCGCGGCAAAAGTGATACCGGGGCTGCTATTATCGGAGGTTTCCAATTCCGGGTAAGGATCCATCGAAATGGGATTGATAGTAACTAGGGTTTTTCTTGAAATCTAATGGATATTTCTTGAAATCTGATGGATTTCCTGATTTGGGTAGAGAATTATTTAAAGATCTAGGACATGATGCTTCTCTATTCCTTTTTGTGGTTTCCCTTTTATCTCGCTAGGGTTTCCTTTTTAATCACAAGAATAGTGAGACACTGCCATATCTATTCAAACAAAGATAACCCAAGATCAGGCAAGAGAGATGATTAGAAACAAACCAAATTACACACACAAACACAAACACACACAGATTGATTGATGGTGCATAAATGGAAGATCTTTGTGGCTAGCTAGGTTTTGTTGGGTTGAACAGAAAGAAGAAACAGTATGGCTTGAATTTTCTACCACCATAAAGATTGAGTGATGTTGAGGTGAGGTGCCATTGATGGGATTTTGGGTGTGAAAAAGAAACAGTAGATAGCTTTTGCAAGATCAAGAAACAAAAGGTTTGGCTGCAAATGCTTAAAGATTCAGAGTGGGTTTCCTAAAATAGGGCACACAAACTTCTATATATAACTGTAGTTTGGGTAAAAATGAGTCTCCTAAAACTTTCTATTTATTACTCCTTTGTACAATTTAAGCTTCAAGTAGATCATGGCTTTGTCTTTTATATTCATGTTTAGCTTTCAAATGGGTCTACTAGGAATAGCAAAATTTATTGTTTTTCACAAGTCGTTCACGTCCGTTAATAATTGAAATCTGTTCGAATTTTTTTAATTTTAGACTCTGTCACCATCTTAAAAACATAATGGAAATTACTGTTTTTGTCGTTTTGGTTACAGTTCGTTGTTATTTACGTTCTTGATACCATAAAAACTAACCATGGTAATAAATAAAACTTGTTATAATACCATAAAAACCTATTAAATTCATATAAATAGTTTACATCTCTTTTATTTTGTAAATATAAACACACATACACATATAAAATATATGATAAAATATTATTTTTAATTTCAGGTTTTGATTTCATATATAATTTAAATACAATAAATGTGATGTGTTTGTTAGTACACTTTTATTGAAATGCTAAGTATACGACCAAAAATAATAACCATTGGCCTATAAAATATTTGATTTTTTGTAATTCCTTATTTTAAAAAAAAAGAATATTGTTCCAATGAATATGAATATATGGTTAAAAAGTTATATTGTTTATTAACGGTTTGTTTGACAGTTGATAAATGGTTTGTTACAGAATGATTAAGTGATCAGAATAATTAAGAAGCGCTTATGATATATTTCAAAATAAAATATAATTGTTTACTAAAGTCATTTTTTATATATATTTTTATATAATAATAATAATAATTAAAAAGAAATAAATTGCGTAATGTGGGTTTAAAAGTGATTGGATGGATGATGTTTTCTTCTGGTCACTCCTCTGAATGAGTTCTGCATCTTTTTCCCCAATTTTCCCTTCGTTACTTCATTTCTTGAAATGACAGTTCTTTGTTTAATGACTAAAATGTCCTTCTTCAATCTCCCCATTTTAGTTTTACAACCAAACCAATTAAACGATGCAAATTGCAATATAATGGAAAACAACGGAAAAATCTATCAAAAGACCTTTGTTGTTCTATCGGTATCGTAGTATTTGGTTTTCTAGAAAGTTACGGGTTTAAACCTCACAAAAAAACGAAGAGGATGTGTGAGTTTGTTTGTTGCATTTGTCGTATATAAATATTATGTACTTTAAAACATTCAAGAAATAAATATACACAATAATTGTTATTTGAACTTTATTATCAAAGCATATTGTTTTCATTTTTTTTAAAAAAGGAGAATAATAATTGAGAATAAAACAAAATCGACTGTCTATAAGAAGCAGTACTGACTAAAGTAAAAACAGATTACAAAACCAAAGAACCCGTCACAAGTTATCTTTATCCCATTTAAAAAGTATTCGCGATATATGAATAATCAGTAACTATATTATATTATAATAAGAAAAGAAAAATAAAAGAACGTTTTTACGATAAATATATTTCATTTTTGCTATTCATATTACTTCATTAATTAGCTTGTTAATACCGATTTAAAGGTCTCATTTTCATTTTTCTTGACATTAAGCAGACAAAACTTGTGATTATATTTTCTATTATTGAATCATACAGACAAGATTCGTATAATATAAAAGATCGAATATAAGCTAGTTGTTATTATAATCTGAATTGGGAAATGCATATAAAAGACAGGTTGATTTGAAAACTTAATTACAAAAAACATGTTGTCGTAAGGTATTTTCGAGTATGTAGGTAAATATAAACAAAGGGGTGGTTACAAATGTATTTTAAATTAAAACTGTCTATTTTTAATCAGAAAAGGATGAAATACAGCTAAAATTGGAGGGAAACAAATTACACCATAAAATCATCATTTTTATGCTTTTTAACTTAATGTTTATGTTGATAAATTTTTTACTCCGATTTTATGGTTTTCTGATTTTTCTAATTTTAGAGGTTTTCTCTAAACCGAACCTTACATGAGTATGTATGTATGTATGTATGTATGTATGTATGCCCATTTATAAGGATAATCGTTTGACAACTACAAAAGGTTACAAACTGTTAAACCACTGGATCAGATGTTATTCACATGATTTTTCAAGTGGATAACACGATATTAAACTCTTTTCATTTGTCTGTGAAACAAAAAATGCACGTAAATTTTTTTATATTATGAAACAGATCATAATCGATGGGTTTAAATAAATAAAAAAAGTCATACAAAAAAGTTGTCATTTATTCACAATAATTTAAATTCTTATTTATTCACAATAATTTAAATTCTTATTTAATTATTCCAAAATATTTAATATTATTTTAGTAGGAATATTAATCCCTTAAAACACGTTGTTCATTGGTTTAATAAAAAAATAATGCAAATTTCGAAAAATTACGGCTACTAATTTTCTACTAAAAATTATTAAACAAAAGATTTCCAATTAAAAAATTCAATAAAGACAAACTTAGATTTTCTTGATGTACTCCATGATTGAATTTGGCTTTTTTACGAGAGATTTAATATAATAATAATAATAATAATAATAATAATAATAACAACAACAACAACAACGTTTATTTTATTTTTTATTAAGGAGTCGGTTTACCAAACGTTTACCCGGATAAGCACTTATCAAATTACATTATTTTACCGAATGAATATGGTAAGGACCAAAAATCTTATCTGATATGAGTGAGATAAGGACCAATAGTTTTACCTGGTAAATGAGGGCGACGACTCTTATCACGGTAAGCGCTTACTGGGTAAGTTGATGCATATGATACTGTTTTGATGGACTAAGATCTTATCTGGTAAATACATGATAATGTTAAATTTTACTGATAAACACTTACTGGGTAAGTATTTGGTAAACGACCCCTAATTATAATAATAAATTTGTCTTCTGGACATTTTCAAAGAAATTTATTCGAAACAGAGAATCAAATTTTAAGATCTTTAAAAAAAATTAAAATTTATTTTTTAAAGATTTTTTATTTTAGAGGTTATAATATTATTAAATTATTTTATGCATATGTAATAAAATATTATATTTTTGTCATAAAAATTAATATCAAAGTTTCTTATTAGAAAAACTAGAAAAGTACTCGCGTAATATAACGAGATATATCTCGATTATAATGTTTTTTTTCTTTTTATCCCTGTCAATGTTATAATATAGTTTTTTATAGTTTTGAAAAAACGATAATGTTTTTATTTTTTTAATAAAATATAAATTTGAATATATCATAAAAAGTTGAAAAAATATATAGATATTAATATCAAATTAACTATTTAAAATTCTTGTTTTCTTAT